CTCTGGGATGTGACGTACTCTTCTAAGCAGATCTGTGCCCGTAAAGGATCGACTGTGGAGATGAGCTGCACCTTTCCATACCCAGAGGGAATAAACGAGGAAGTTAACACACTTCAGGAAACATTTTGGTCTACTGATGAGCCTGAATATAAAGTGGATGTTAAAGAAGACTCCAAGTATTCAGGCCGTGTGCAGAATACCTGTGTGGGGAACAACTGTACTCTGAGAATCACAGACGTGAGAGAGACAGACACGGATTACTACAGGTTCATATTGAAAACAAACATCAGCAGATATTTAAGTAGATCTGGGGTCATCCTGACTCTCACAGGTAATATTTCACACTTTATTCTCTGAGCTCACAGTTTATAATATGTTGTATATTAATGTATTTACTACATGTTTGTGTGCTGATATTTCTACACATGTTCAGATCTCCAGGTGGAGGTGAGCAGACATGAGGCTGTATCCCTCTTTAAATGTGTCAACAGATGTCCTGATGAAACCTCCTTCATCTGGTTCAAGAATGGAGAGGAAATCAAAGATGAAACATCATCATTATTCATCAGAGCAGGTTCTTCAGACAGACAGTTATTCCTGTGCTGTACGAGGACATGAGAAGTTCCCGTCTCCTCCAGTGTGTGAGTTTATTTACAGTCTTCACTGATTCACACTAGGGCTGCAACTAACGATTATTTTGATAATCGATTAATCGGTTAATTATTTTTCTGATTAATCGATGAATCGGATTTAAAAATTTCCACACGTTTATTCAAAAACAGAACATTAGTTCATTGACAGGGCAAACAAAAGTGCAAAAACAACAGGTTACTGCTTGGACGTCTCCATGAGCTTTCTGAAATGGGTCCTTGAGGGAAGAGTGTAGCCAGGGTTTAAGGTGGGGATCATTGTAGTGAAGTTGCATCTTTATTTTCAACCATCGTCAGAGGCCTCGTGTCAGCGACGAGCATGTTGAGGATGCTATCTGTCAAGACGGATGCTTCTTGTGGTGTACATGATGTTTTCTGCAATAACAAAGATAGTATTAATATGTAAAACAGCACAATTTACATCTAATCAATATGCCTTGTTGTTTTAGTTATGAATTTATTGTTATGTAAAAGTAAGTAAGTAACCCAAAGAGCACTTGCAGAGACAACACACGTTTTTATAATATATATTTATTTACATCAATACAGGTACCCTAAAAACTTATTTACACAAATTTAATTAAGTGTCTAAATGCACTTGCATACAGTGCAGTGTATTAACTCTCACCTTATTACAGAAAATTAAGCTTAATCATCAAATTATTAAATCATTGTAGTAAGTACATTGTTTTTTAATTGTTTATTGACAGCAAGCTGACAAAGTGCTTTAAAACATTTTTAAACTAAAATAAAATGTAAAACACACACCTACACAAATATATTCCAACGTCAACAGGAAATAATATGGGAAAACAGCAAAGAATATATCTGACAACGTATTGAAAGTGGGCCTAAAAGGCAAAATAATAAAGTTTTCTTTAGTCTAAGGTTGTTTGGAGTTGGCAAAGTAAAAAGTTTTCTGTACCGCGTCATTAACCAGCTAACGTTAAACGTTAACGTTAAAGCACCAGCCGAGCAACCGGAGAGACTAACGTTACATTTTCTTACTTGAAAACAGAACAACCATGGGATTTTGTAGTGACTTACCCTGCTGTCGAGCTCCCTTCCTAGTCAGCGATGACTCCGACATGTTTACTTTTCAGGTGCTGCATCATCACTGTGGTGCTCCCGTGCCGCGCCGTATCGCTATTGCAAAGCTTCAACTAACTCTTGTTTTTATGCATCGTGAAGTGCTCCCACACTTTAGAAGATTTCGGTTGAACCGTTCTCTCCGCTCTGCTGTGTTTAATATCTGAAATACCAGCTCCACTCTCTCACGCTGTAGCTCCGCCACGCTGTGCCGTCGGCATGTAAACAGTTCGGCGTGCACGTCACCACAGTCTGCGACATAGGGAGTGACGCATTAATCGTGCAACGCAACGAATCGATAATGAAATTCGTTGCCAACACTTTTATTAATCGATTTTTATTGATTCGTTGTTGCAGCACTAATTCACACCATCACACGGAGCCTTTAAAGGTCCAATCAGTGAGATGTGTAGAGAGTGAGATGATAAAGGTATCTTACTATCTAATCAGACATGAAGGAAACATGCTATGTTGAAGTGCTGGCTTCTCTGACAACAATGCAGCAGCCAGTATGTCCTCCTTCTAACTTTACATTCTGCTCCTGAATGCTCTGGATTTGTTTGGACCAGATAAAGTAGGCGCTTTTAAGACACCCCCACAAGGCCGTTTTGGATGCCCCTCGGTTTGTCAGATATGAGAGCAGTTATCAGGTCAAACCAACAGGTGTTGCAGCGATGGAAGTGTAACACCGGGAAGGTTGCGGCCGTAACCGGGGGATAAAAATCAAACTAGAAATGAATTGAAGTTATTTGTTCTTTTAAAAAGAGGACGTTTTCCTTCTGATCTCAGTGATGACGTGGAGAAATAGCCGATCAGTGGTGGTCTTGACCGGTCTTTATTTGAAATCCTGAGACTGAGACCTTCAAAAAGTGGTCCTGAGACCAAGACTGATTTGGAGTACTACAACACTAGTGCTTTGTTCTGCACTTTGTGTTTCAGGATCCCTGATACTCTCAGAAATACTACAAACACTGTCTCGTATTCTGTGATGTGACATCTCCACACATGAAGTCGTTTTCTGACTTTAGTTTGAATCATCCGTTTTCACGTCTAAAAGGAAGGTCACCTCTTTTTCTTGACATATACCAAAAACCAAGTCTGCTTATCACTCTTAGATACCACAAATTAAAATGTGTTTTATTATTCATGCTCTCAGACTTTACCCCTGCAGTGTTTGTTCTAAAGCAGAGTTTGTTCTCAGGTTCTCTCTAATACAGTTTCTATCTCCTGATAGTTTTTGTGGGTGGAAACTTGTCTCACAGTGAATATCTTCCACCATCACACATCCACACTAAACCCTGCTACTTCCTTCTTCAAAGTGTCAGATCTTATCCAAGCAGCATCCTCCGGTGTTGACCAATGAAGCCGATGCAAAACAACAACCTGCAGTTCCTCGGGTGTCCACTAGAGGCTGGCTGCAGAAAAGCACATGAAGTCACATACACACCCATACTAAAAAAGCCTGTTTACATTTTTGAGTCTTTAAAATGATTACAGTTGGATAGAATCGTGATCAGATGATTTTTAGACGTTGAGATATGTTGAGGTTTTTATTTTTTCTTCTGAAAGTTATGAATGTTGATGGTTGTTCCTGATGTGCTCTGTGTTTCAGCGGTTCAGGATCTCTGGGATGTGACGTACTCTTCTAAGCAGATCTGTGCCCGTAAAGGATTGACTGTGGAGATGAGCTGCACCTTTCCATACCCAGAGGGAATAAACGAGGAAGTTAACACACTTCAGGAAACATTTTGGTCTACTGATGATCCTGAATATAAAGTGGATGTTAAAGAAGACTCCAAGTATTCAGGCCGTGTGCAGAATACCTGTGTGGGGAACAACTGTACTCTGAGAATCACAGACGTGAGAGAGACAGACAGGGCTGTATACATGTTCATATTGAAAACAAACATCAGCAGATATTTAAGTAGATCTGGGGTCTACCTGATTGTCACAGGTAATATTTCACACTTTATTCTCTGAGCTCACAGTTTATAATAATATGTTGTATATTAATGTATTTACTACATGTTTGTGTGCTGATATTTCTACACATGTTCAGATCTCCAGGTGCACGTGATCAGACAAGCGGCTCGACTCTTTTCTTGTCTCAACGGATGTTCTAAAGAAACCATCTGGTTCAAGAATGGAGAGGAAATCAAAAATGAAACATCATCTCATTATTCATCAGAGCAGGTTCTTCAGACAGACAGTTATTCCTGTGCTGTACGAGGACATGAGAAGTTCCCGTCTCCTCCAGTGTGTGAGTTTATTTACAGTCTTCACTGATTCACACCATCACACGGAGCCTTTAAAGGTCCAATCAGTGAGATGTGTAGAGAGTGAGATGATAAAGTGAGCTTACTATCTGATCAGACATTAAGGAAACATGCTATGTTGAAGTGCTGGCTTCTCTGACAACAATGCAGCAGCCAGTATGTCAGTGATGATCAAATGATCCGCTCAAACGGTCGGTTCGACTAACTTAAGGATAGCAACGTCATCTCACAGCCTGCTGTAGTCTCAGTTAGGGCTGCACGATATTGAGAAAAAAATGACATTTCAATATTTTTGTTTCCTGCGATATATGTTAACTGCTTCACTCTGTTCAGCTGAATTCTCCCTGAAATGATGATTACACACACACAGAGAGAGAGAGAGAGAGAGAGAGAGAGAGAGAGAGAGAGAGAGAGAGAGAGAGAGAGAGAGAGAGAGAGAGAGAGAGAGAGAGAGAGAGAGAGAGAGACAGAGAGACAGAGAGACAGAGACAGAGACAGAGAGAGAGAGAGAGAGAGAGAGAGAGAACACACACAGGCTGAGCAGACGCACAATGGATCACAGAGTTTGTCCTCCTCCTGCGTTTTGACTTTTTTGTAGTCTTGAGTAATCAGCTGCCAGAGATGTGAATCAATGAAGAGTAATGTTTAGAGACATTTCTAGAACAAGCACAATGCATTTTGTGAAGATGCTCCACCTCAGAAAGAGAAAAATTGTGATTTCTGCAGGAAGCAAAGCAAACTTTAAGCAACGGATTACTTTGACATTAAACTACGACTGTTTCAAGTTTTATGGCAGCTCATGGAATCATAAGGCGTGGGAAGGAGGACGTGAAATAAACAATAAAATGGGCTATCAGAAGATCGAAACTTAGACCTCCAAAACAAAACCGAGAGCCCGTTCTGACTGAAGACAAAGTTGAAGGCACAGATCTGGAGGCCGCTGCCTTTAACCCTGAAAGTGTTAAATAAAGCCCCTTATGTGATATTAACTAAAGCAAACTGTCAGATTGTATAAATCCCTGCTCCTCTCCGCTCACATTCACCGCTCTCTCTCTCTCAGTCGCTCGACCACTCACGCTGCACGTCGCTCTGCCCGGCCCTGATAACAGCAGGTGAGATGACAGAGCGCTGAGAAGGTGTTCTCACTATGAGAGTTGTTGCATAATGTGGTAAAAGATATAAATATATACTCATTTAGATCTATCAGTAATGTGAACGGGCTTAGACAGGATACATAAACTTCATTGAAAGGCTCAAATATGTTTTTTGGCTCCAGACAGATTTGTTTTTTCTTCACATCGCATATCCTTGCGTTGTGAGTATTGCGCATGCGCACATCTCGATGACGATGCTGAAACGATATATCGTGCAGCCCTAGTCTCAGTCAGTCTGTGAACTTGTCCATTCAGACTCTGTGAAACAGCGCTGCGTTAAACACTGCAGATATAGTGCACGCTAAATGCACGCTCCACTTTTCTCTTCCATCAGGTGCAGCAGGAGCAGTCAGAGATAAACACGTCCAATACAAACAGGCTGATTGTATTCAGTGTCTAATATTTTCAAAGCTAAATCAAGAGAAAAATTGTTTTGAGGAATAATAATTTAATTAAATATTATTATCAAATAAAAATTCTCTGTTGGATTTTAGTTATTAGTCTATAATGTTATAATGCAGGGGGGGTCTGGGCACTGCTACCTTTAAAACAATAAAGGCGAGCAAATATATATATATTTTTACAATTTCTCAATTTCCTGATCTGTGTCAGGAAAACAGGAAAGTGGGACACAGGTGCGGACCCAGGGGTGTCTTAAAGTTTTCCAAGAAGGATAACCACAAAAATCGCAAGCGATAGATTGGAGGGGGGGTAGGGAACAATGAAAATAGTCTAGAGCCAAAACATTCCTCTAACTAATGCACAGAAAATGATCAACTAAACCACTGCTGCCAGGCAGCTGACTCAAAACTAAATTGACCGGGAGACCCAGAAACAATTCACGAAAGTAAAGGCTGCCAGGAAGGCCTTCAAACTCAACACAAAAGGCTGGGGTATATCAACTACCCAGCACCCCAAGTTACTTTGGTAATAGACACAAATACACAGGAAGTTATTTGTTGGTGTTTATGAACACACAGACAACAAGAGACACCACAGGGAGAAGCTCTCACTACCTCTGAAGGTGAGATAATGAGTCAGCACAGAACACTGAACCTCCAGGAGTATATAGAAGCTCCCCACACCTGGTTTTAATCAAGGCCAATCAGCCACAAACACACCTGACTCTGCACTTAGGTGATTCATTCACCAACCCCAGTGAGAAGCCAGAGAGTGTGTCCTTACAATCTGATAAAATTATTCAATCTGTGATTTAAATATCTTGATTCAACAGAACATAATGCCTTCTTAATTAAATGTACTGTAACAGATGTGTATGCGACACAAAAACACTATTTGTGTAATTTTGTGTCGGAAGGACACTGGAATACTCACATTATGTTAATTTCAGAAATGACACTGTCTCTCTGACACTACCTTCTGGGCTTCACGGCTATCAGACTTATGTGCTAGCATATTTGAAAGTCCGGCCTCCACGGTGTCTATCAAGAAAAAAGCTGGCCCTTGTGCAAATGTAGTTGATGACCCCTGCAGTATGTCCTCCTTCTAACTTTAGATTCTGGTCCTGAATGCTCTGGATTTGTTTGCACATCATTTTAAAACTTGCATCTAAAGGGTTAAAATCCTGAAAATAATTGAATATTTGATAGTTTTGATTAGGACTGAAGTTGATTGAAAGATTTAACCCAAAAAAGTGGAAAAAAAACATTGTTCTAATTATCTTCACAGCTGTTTTAGGGAGCGGATATTTCTGTCAACGAGTGGCTCAAGAGGGTAGTAAATTTGTACTCAGTGTATCATAGAACTATTCAAAAAAATTAAATTGGAATTTCAAAATGTATCATGCCATATGCACTAACACAGTCAAAGTGATTGTTAAAGGAAACTGAAAAATTCATTGAGTGATACCAGAGGGTTAAATGGTACCTCCATTTTCATATGTGCAGGTTATCAGAGAGTTTCCTGATTATCTGTCTCACTGTTACATTTTTCTGCAAATATAAAAACTTTTATTCAGCAGGTATGATCGTCAGTTTCAGAACCAAAGCTGTTCAATATAACACGTCCACCTTCATCTGATGTGAGGTCTCTCTGATTCTCCTCCAGATGCTCCAAAGCCTCCTTCTGTGTCAGTGAGTTCCCACGATGAGATAGTGGAGGGCACTTCAGTCAATCTGACCTGTAGCAGTGATGCTAACCCAGCAGCTAATTACACCTGGTACAAGGCGGATGGACCTCTAAACCCTAATCACACATATCCAGGAGCTACGCTTGTCTTCAGCTCCATCGAGTCCTCTGACTTTGGGGAGTTTTACTGTGAAGCTGAGAACACGCTGGGGAGAACGACCTCCAAACGCATCTCTGTCAACCTAACATGTGAGTCAAACACTCATCATTAAATAGAGTGAGATGAAGCTACTGCTACCTACCAACCAAGCTGAAGTGTTAAATCCTGCAGTTCCTCGACTGTCCACTAGAGGCTGGCTACAGAAGAACAGGAAGTCACATACACACCCATTCTAAAAAGCCTGTTTTTACAGCAGAGATGAACATGTTTACAGCCTGGTTCAAAAAACCAAATAGGTGTGATTAGCTCATGTCTCGATGGACACACACTGTACGGGGGGTGAATGTTTTGATGACTCATCAGTTTTGATTTGATGAAGGATAAGAGTTATTCACAATAAGGCGTGTAGCTGACCTGATTGACAGGTGGGCGCGGTGTAACGGTTTGTCAGGAGGTTTAAAACCCGCCTCAGCTCCAGCTCTCAGCCGGTCGTTAGGTTGACTGAAAGTTAGACTGAGACAGCATTTCCAGCATGGAGACCGCCATCGATGGGACTCCAGCGCCCCCTGCAGGAACAGAGGGGGACGTCACTCAGGCTTCAAACATTCATATTTACAGTCCATTCTAGACCTACCAACTGAACAATCACCCAAACCACCAACTCTTAAAGTGCTTCCACACTTTACACAAAACTGAAAACCTCCTGAAGTGTTCAGGAGGATATCAGGAGCAATCTTCCTGAAATGATCTAGAAACTTTAAGCAGTGCAGATGTGAAAATGTCTTAATCATTTCCTCCTCCATGGTGTCAGACTGACTGAATGATGAACAGAGGGTATAACAAAGAGGAAAAGTGATTTTTCTGTCTAATCCTTCCAGTGAAGTGTCTCACATATCGCTCTTTCATTCTTAGGGAACTCACTAAAAATCATCACCAGGTGGACTCTGCTGCTCCTCTTGTTGAGTCCTCTGATTCCCCTGACTCTGTGGCTGAGGTAAAACCATCAACATTCATTCTGTTGTTTATGACTCCCATCATGTTAAACTGGGAATTTATTGTTTTATGATTTAACCCAGGTGGAAGAAAACTGTGAACTCCACCACTGAACCAGACGAACCTGCAGAGATGATCGAGGTAAGAGAGAGAGAGAGAGAGAGAGAGAGAGAGAGAGAGAGAGAGAGAGAGAGAGAGAGAGAGAGAGAGAGAGAGAGAGAGAGAGAGAGAGAGAGACAGAGAGAGAGAGAGAGAGAGAGACAGAGAGACAGAGAGAGAGAGAGAGAACAGAGAGAGAGAGAGAGAGAGAGACAGAGAGAGAGAGAGAGAGAGAGAGAGACAAGAGAGAGAGAGAGACAGAGAGAGAGAGAGAGAGACAGAGAGAGAGAGAGAGACAGAGAGAGAGAGAGAGAGAGAGAGAGAGACAGAGAGAGAGAGAGAGAGAGAGAGAGAGAGAGAGAGACAGAGAGAGAGAGAGAGAGAGCGAGGGAGAGAGAGAGAGAGACAGAGAGAGAGAGAGAGAGAGAGAGAGAGAGCGAGAGAGAGAGAGAGAGAGAGACAGAGAGAGAGAGAGAGAGAGAGAGAGAGAGAGAGAGAGAGAGACAGAGAGAGAGAAAGAAGAGACAGACAGAGAGAAGAGAGAGAGAGAGAGAGAGAGAGAGAAGACAGACAGAAGAGAGAGAGAGAGAGAGAGAGAGAGAGAGAGAGAGAGGAGAGGTTTGGTTTTCAAAATACCTTTTATTTTACCACTACCAGGAGAAAATTATAACACTGTCACATCATCACTCAGATCAAGAGAAGGAAATAAATAAATAAATAAAAAATAAAACAAGTGCAACAAAAATCACAACATCAACAAAAACAACATTTACTGCATCAAAAATGAATAATCAGCTCTCCATCCCACCCACAGAGCACAAAGCTTCTTCCACAGCCCATACACTATTAAAGTCTTGCACATTGTCCATCATTTGATAATAGGCAAATTCTACCTTTAGTCTGGCCTTCAAAAGTCCCTCCAGAACCAGCACCGGTTCCACACAGCCAGTACCCTGAGCTCGGTTCTTGCGTGTAAGCCAAATGGCCAACTTAGCCGAGCCAGATAAAAAGTTCATCAGTGTATGTACAGTCTTTTTCTTTGCAGAATACTTTGGCCCAAAAACAAACACTGCATAAGAGAAATCCTCCCGAGAGCTTCAAACAAGCTTTTTCATAAGGACAAACAAGAGTGAGAGCCTGGGACACTCAACAAACAGATGAGACAAAGTTTCAGTTAGTGAACAAAACAAACACTCCTCTCCCACCCCTGGATCAATGTGCGCTCTGTATCTGTTCGTGGCTATAACCCCCATGCACAACCCTCCACTGGAGATCTGCTGTCTCTTCTCAACAGGCAGCTTGTACAGGGACCGCCAGC